AGGTCCTCCTCAGCCACCGAATGGGACCCTAGAAATAGGCTGTTTGGAGCTGGGGCCTGTGGAGGGGCGCTCTGTGGAAGGTCTCTAGCCTTTGGGGGGTAGGCTTTGGTGCCCCCGCAACCATCCATGGAAACCTCACATTTTCCACCCGGCCCAGAGGTCCCCCAGGATCCCCAGCACAGAGCTTCCGCTGAGACTAGTGCTCCTTCCCAAGCTCCTCCCTCATCTCCTGCCCCAGCTTGGCACCTGTTGACGGCCTGTGGATTCCCGGCTCGCAGGCTCCGTTTTCCGTCGCCATGAGGTAAGGAGGCGTGTGCTGCTGCTGCCTGTCTAGCCGCAGTCTTCTAGCTGCAGAAGAGCGGAGGGTGCCAGGCTGTCAGGGTGCTGCTCTCGTCCAGCTGTGGAGAGAGGCGGCCACGACCAGGTGGCTGAGGGGAGAGAAGTACCTGCAGCCGTGAGCGGGGACCGTCTTGCAGCAGCTGCCCAGGAGCAGTCCTGGTGTGGTTGTAAGGGACGGGGCCCGGTGGTGGGCAGAGGCGGAGGCAGGGGCGCGGGCAGTGGAGGCGGGGACGGGGCAGAGGATCTCTTACACCAGGGGCCATGCAGCTCCGGACTGCCACCACCTGTCACTCTTGGCCCCTGTTCAGAGGACACAGCATTCTTCCCACAACCCAACTGGGGGAGTGTGGCGCTGGAACCAGTCGGAGGCTAGGGAGGGGGCAGCTGGGGGAGCAAGCCCTTCCCCAGGCCCTGGCGGGCGCCCTGGCACACAGGGGGTCAGGAAAGGGGCCCGGGAGAGGCGAAGGCAGCATGTGCCACATCTCCTGGGGTCCCCCAGACCCTGGCTAGAGCTGGGCTGGCCCAGACCCTGCTCTGTGCCCACAACCCCTGCCCCTGACACCCGGACCTACTTGGACCAGCTTTGGGTAAGGAATCGGCTGAAGGCACTTGCCCAACATGCCCCGAGACCCCAGAGCTCTTACTTCAGATGTCCTTTTCTGGACCTCCCGGGGAGGTGGGGGCTCCCCTGCCCCTCATCTGAGGTGAGCCCACCCTGAAGGAAGCGCTGGAGGGGAGTCCTTCCCAAAGATCCCCTACGGCAGTGGGGCCAAGGGGTGCTCCATCCCTCCCAGAGGGTGGCTGGGAGGGCTGTCTCCCCAGAGCCTGGCTCGGAGGGGGCCTTGAGACTGTGCCAGAGCCCAGCACACCCAGAATAGCTCCCAAGGGAGCACCTGGGTTCAGGTCCGGCCTCAGCATTACATCCAGACCCCCACTCCAAGCGCTCAGTCCTTCTGACCTCAGATGGTGAAGGGGTGGGGGGAGAGAGACTGAGAGAAAGGAGTGGGTGGTGCCCTCCAATGGAGGTGGGGTGGGGGCGGTAAAAAGCCAGGGGCAAACCAGCCATAGACTAGGGTCCCCCTGTGTGCAGAAGTGGGGGCAGGGCAGGTGTCTACATGGGCAGCTATCTTTTTTCTGTTTGGGAGACGATCAATCTCTTAAGAAGCTGGGGACTGTGGGGGTGGTGAGAGCTGGCTTTATGAGTTGACCTAGGAACGGTGGGAACACTGCTGTCCCGAACAAGTACTGCTTGCTGCTGGCCGGTGTCCTTTCTGTGTTGGAGAGAGCCAGTGTCCAGGGTCCTTGGTGCACAGCCCGGAGCTGGGCCTCCCCCTCCAGCCTTGACTTTTTTTTCCCTGTCAGAATTGCTTCAGATGTGAAGTGTGAAATAGGGTAGATACGGTGCAGTATCTTTCTGAGTGTGTATTCCTGTCTGCCTTCTCTCTCCACAAACGCCGGCTCACTGCCGCGGAGTCCACCCACCTCACCGCGACCCTAGAGGACAGGCTAGGGCTGCCCCTGTGGATTTCCGTGTCTGTCACTGTTGATGGGAGTGGAAAGTCTCATCTTTCTTCCTTGGAGTGTCTGGTGACTTCGAACTGCTGACCTTGAGGTTATCCACCTGATGCATAACCCACTTTGTCACAAAAGCTCCCCAGAGGCAGACACTATGCTAAGGGGGATCTAGAACAATGCCATGGAAAAGCATTTTAGACGAGTGTATCTCAACTACATAATCCTGCCCAGCATGTGCAAATATTGTAAACTTTCTATCGCAACTCAGGTAAAGGTTTGCAGAATACATCATTGTATTGTACACAATACACATTGTATTGTACACAATACACAATTGACACGTTGTCTGTCCCAAAGCACGCCTTGCAGTCCCCTCCCCGTACCTTCGCCTACCCCACTTCCTATCTCCCATCTGCCTCTTACCTAGTCCTCCAGTTCCGGGTCCAACGCTGCCCCTTTTGATCATAAGCAGGTGGTGGATGATTCTAGCTCGGGGGTGTGCTCAGTTCCAGACCTGAAGGGTGGCTAAGGGCCACCGTCTTAGGGGACCCACCAGTCAATATCTGACCAGTAGCCTGGTCTCTTTGATGGCTTGGAGTTCTGTCCCTCATTTCCCCCACGCTATCCACAACCTTCTCAGACCGTCCCTCCTCTCCCCATCTCCACTTCCCTGCAAGGCCCGGTTGGCAGCCCACTCCTCACCTCTGTAATAACTATGCAGAGCGCGGCGAAGGCTTAAAGCAAATCAAAACAAAGCAATTCAAAACACTGCCATAGAGAGGGTGCGGACCCAAACAACCCTACATAGGGTTTTGAAGACTGTAGATCTTTTTCCTTTTTTT